CCACCCCAGCAGGACTGCGGCAGCCCGCGGGGCAGGGGGCGGGGTGGGGAGGGGCTGCGGCCCCCAGGAACCGGCGCAGGGCGGGACGGGGGCAGATCCTGGCTGCAGGGGCGCCACCGGGGGGGGGGAGCGGCCGGGGGAAGGGCGTGGGAGGTGGGCATTAACCCTGCTGTCGCCCCGTTCGCATTCACAGGCTGTGCAGCCCGGGGCCTTCTGCGATCACCCCGGGAGCTGGCCCAGATATACGTGCGTCACGCCCATCACTCCTCCCTAAGTTAGTATCCGCAGAGATTCGGGGCCATGCCGTTGGTCCTGTTGCAGAACTGGTGCAGAGGGGAGCATCTGGACATCCAGAGATGCATCCTCGTCCTGGGGATCCCCGAGGACTGTGGCGATGATGAGGTTGGGGAGACCCTTCAGGAGGCCCTCAGGGACCTGGGCAGATACAGGCTTATTGGCAGGATGTTCAGGAGGGAGGAGAACGCCCAGGCGTTTCTACTGGAGCTCGAACAAGATGTGGACTATGCTTTGGTCCCCAAGGAAATAGCAGGAATGGGGGGCCCCTGGGAAGTGGTTGTAAAGCCTCGTAACTCAGATGGCGAATTTCTCAGTAGACTGAACCGCTTCTTAGAGGAGGAGAGGCGGTCGGTGGCAAACATGAACAGAGTCCTTGGGTCAGACATAAATTGTTCAGTTCAGAAAGTGGCTATCTCACCAGATTTCTGGCCCTGGGCCCACACCCTGGAGTCAGCCATGCAGCCTCTGCTAGAACAAATGCTGTACCGAGAATTGAGAGTGTTTTCTGGGAACACCATCTCTATCCCAGGCGCACTGTCCTTTGACGCCTGGTTCGAGCACACCACTGAGATGCTACAGACGTGGCAGGTGCCCGAGGGGGAGAAGCGGAGGCGGCTGATGGAGTGCCTGCGGGGCCCTGCTCTGCAGGTTATCAGTGGGCTCCGTGCCAACAATGCAGCCATAACTGTAGATGAGTGTCTGGCAGCCCTGCAGCAGGTGTTTGGACCTGTGAACAGCCGGAAAATTGCCCAGGTCAAGTTATGGAAGGCCTATCAGGAGGTAGGAGAGAAAGTCTCTAGCTTTGTGTTACGCTTGGAGCCCCTGCTCCAAAAAGCTGTGGAAAAAAATGCAGTGTCACGCAGGAATGTGAATCAGACTCGCCTGCAACACGTCTTAAGTGGGGCTGCCCTTCCTGAGAAACTTCGAGAGAAGCTGAGGATGATGAAGCAGCGAAGGAATCCCCCTGGTTTCCTGGCCCTGGTGAAGCTTCTGCGTGAGGAGGAGGAGTGGGAGGACACCGTAGGTCCAGGGAAGGAGATCCTGGAAGTGAGCGCCAGGCCAGCTATCAGGGTCTGTGGGCTTGGGGCCATGCCTATCCCTGTCTCTGGCAACGGTTTTGAGGCGAGGCCTTACCAGGGTTCCCGGCGCCGGAGGGGCAGAGGCCAACAGCGAAGGGGGGGCATGCCCAGAGCTGGCTCTCAAGGTTCAAGAAAACGGAGATACCACACCTTCTGCTATGGCTGTGGAGAGGATGGCCATATCAGGGTGCAGTGTATCAACCCTGTCAACCTGCCCTTGGTAAAGCAGAAGAGAGAGGCTGCCAAAGAGTCGGGAAACGGGAACTGGGCTTGGGACAAGAGCCATCCCAAGTCCAAGGGCCAATAGGCTCAGGAGAACAAGGCATCACTTCGTACCACAGGCCGAGGAGACACATGAGATATTGGAATGAGGGGGAAGGGAAGCCCAGACCAACAGCTGGGGATTTGAGTGGGGCGGAGGGACAGGGCAGCCAGGCTGAGGCTGTGCCCTCTTACTCTCCGCCTGCTGGAAGGGAGGCCGCCAGCCAAGGCCAAACAGCACATGGGTCAGTGAGGGCCAGGCCCAGGGCCCTGAGGGGCCGTGGGAGACACAGGCATGGAGCCATCACACCAGCCCCGTGGGGTCCCCACACCTCAGATTGGGACCTCAACCGAGCAGGGGCTGCAGGTGTTTCAGCTGGGGGCTCTGGCCTGGGCATCGGCCCAAGCGTTGGGCCACCCCCTGATACCCACCCTCTGGGCTTTGAGCTAAGCTTGCCCATTGGCCTGCAGGCCACGTGGGGCCTGGAGGAGCCTGACCCGGGGCTGCCCCTGCCCAGGGGAGCCAGGGCTGGCCAGGAAGAGCAGGCAGAGAGGGGAGGACCCACAGGGTCCAACCCGTCTTCTGGATAATCTACACTGCCCCAGGAAGGCATCGCCCTCGAAACTCTCTGTCCAAGCGAGGGCAGGAGACCCCCAAACCCTGGGAGCCCAGCACCAGCCAGAAGCAGTTTCCACCCCCTGTGGTATGACAGGACTGAGCAGACAAGAAGACCAAAGACTGAAGAGAAGACGCCCAGCGTGAATGTACTGGAAAGCATTTGTTCCAAAGGAAGAGTAAGAGGAGGAGGAGGGAGAAGAGGAGGAGGAGGAGGGAGGGGGGGTTGTTTTCTTCTGCTTGTGTCTGTGCAGGGTCTCCAGAGACTGGAAAGAACAGGCAAGGAGAACCTGGGACTGGCATGGCCGATACAACTCAGCAGCTGCTGACATCAAGGCCAGTCCCAAACCCTGGCAGCTTGGGTGGCCAGCCTGGAGGCACCCTGAGCAGCCAGCTGTGGCCTGTGTGCTCTGAAGACCTCTGTCTCTTGCACCAGGTTGGGAGATTTTAAGGGGGAGAGACCCTGTCAAGGGAGCCAGCTGCCTGAGTCTCCCAAGAAGGGTCCCCCCAGTCCCCGTGCTCCCTGTTCCCTGAGGCCCACCCTTGTCTGCGTAGGCCCTGCTGTGACCCACGGGCCAAGCAGATGCTCACCCACCCACTTACTGATAGCCGTTGTTCCTGTGCCAAGCCGTGTGGTGTGCACCCACCCAGGGCATGTCCCAGCCCCCCTGGGCCTGGGCACGTGCTGTGAGCTCCCACTCAGCCAAGGTCCTGCTCGCTCCTGTCGTGTCGTGAGCTCCGCCTCTGCTTTCTTGGTTGAGATTGAGACCAGTGGCCGCTTGTTCTTGTGGAGATGTGTGTATTCTTCTCTGAGCAGCCCCTCCCCCGAGGCCCTCAGCGCAGTCCCAGGAAGCCGCGGGAAGGATGCTCGAGGGCGTGGCCATGACCGTGACCACAGGGACGGAGGGAGCTGCAGGAGGCTCTGCAGGGACTGTGCTTCAACATTCCACCCCTGTTGTTCCTTGTGATTCGGTATCTTCGACCTGGTGGGGTGTTATGTACTGTGAATTCCAGTGTGCCGTGACTGCCCCCTGTGGGCCATAGGGCTTGTCCCACCCCCGTGGCTGGTCCTGGGGTGGGGGCTTCCCTGCAGTGAGTGGACATTGTCAGAGTCCACCATCTCGCCCAGAGGCCGATCCGGGCCCCTCAGAAAGGAAGAACGTGGCAGGAGGGTGGCATCTCGTCAGGAGCCCCAGGAGGAGGGAGCCCGGGCCCCATGGCCTCTGACGGCCCTCAGCAGTTCCTGTGTGTTGTGTTTTCTTCTCTCAGTGGTTCCAGTACTTATTTCTCTTCAATAAATTTTATTCTGTGTGGCAGCTGAGACTCGCTTCCACTATGGGCAATGGAGGGTGGGGGCGGCTGAGGGTGGGGTGGAGTGGGGTAGGGTGAGAGGTCACAGTGGGGTGTGTGCTTGAAAGTCTATGGGTCGCCTGGGCTGCACGGAGCCAAGCAGCGGGATGGTGGTGGGCATAGGCAGTGGCTGGTTGTGTCCCTAGGGCCCTCGGATAGCCCCCAAGACTCAGTGGGTCCGAAATTGAATCCAGGATAAAGGACAACATGCAGGACCCCAGGTCTCAGGGTCCCTGGCAGCACTGCCGGGGGCTCAGGCGAGTTTGTGAGATTGTGTGTTATAGCACGTGTGAGTGTCTGTGAGACATGAATATGTGTGCACGTGTGTTAGTGATTGTGTGTGACAATGTGGATGTGTGAGAATGTTATGCCTATGAATTTGTGCGCGTGCCATTATGCCAGTGAATGTGTGTGAATATGTGAGTCTCCCAGGAAGGGTCCCCCCAGTTCCCGTGCTCCCTGTTCCCTGAGGCCCACTCTTGTCTGGGTAGGCCCCGCTGTGACCCACGGGCCAAGCAGACGCCCGCCCACCCACTGATAGCCATTGTTCCTGTGCTAAGCCGTGTGGTGTATACCCACCCAGGGCATGTTGCAGCCCCCTCTGGGCCTGGGCACGTGCTGTGAGCTCCCTCATGTGTGAGGAGCTGTGTGAATGCGTGCAAATTAATGTGTATTTTTGAGTGGGAGCGTACCTTCATTTCTGAGTGTGAGCAATGTGTGTTGGTGTTTCAGTATATGCGTATTAGAGCGTATGAGTGGATATGTGTATATGAATGTATGTTTGTAAGAATGTAGGAGTGAGATGATGTGTGAATGTGTGTGTGTCAGTGAATGTGTATATGGGTGAATATGTGTGTTGGAGAGCACGTGAGTGTCTGAGTTTGTGAGTGAACACGTAGGATGCGTGAGTGCTTGTGTGGGTATGTGTGTTAGTGGGTATGATAGAACGTGTGAGAGGCTGTGAACATTTGCGTGTGAATACATGTATGTGATGTTGAGTGAGATTTTTATTTCTTTAAGAAATCGCACAAGGGAGTGGAAAAGAAGGCAGAGCCAGGCCGAAGTTGCTTCTCCACAAAACAGCACCAAGACTTTGATGGCTCCAGGCTGCTGAGCCCTCCAGCTGGGCCTACTGTCCATCACCCATTTCTGTCCCCTGGCTCATTCTCACTTTCAAGGTTCCTAACATCATGTGATCCTGCTACTGCTGTGTGAGGAACGCTGATGTGAATGTCCTTAGTGGACAGTTGCTTTCCTTCCTCCTGATAAGAGTGAAACGGCTGGTCCATGGAGTACTGGTATAATCATAAGAAACTTCACACAGATTCCCAAAGCTATTGATAATTTATGTTTCTATCAGCAGTGCCCATTTCTCAGGGTCTTTCTTTCTTTCTATTTTTTTTTTTTTTTGAGTTGGAGTCTCACTCTGTCGCCCAGGTTGGAGTGCAGGGGCACGCTCACGGCCACCGCAGCCTCAACTTGCTGGACTCTGGCGATCCTTCCACCTCAGCCTTCCAATTAGTTGGAACCACAGGCGCATGCCACTATGCCCAGCTAATTTTTTGATCTACTGTAGAGATGAGGTCTCGCCAAGTTGCCCAGGCTGGTCTTGAACCCCTGGGCTCAGGCAGTCCTCTCACCTCTGCCTCCCCAAATGCTGGGATTACGGGCATGAGTCACCACACCCAGCCAAGACCCTATCTCTTTTTTTTTAAAAATCCCCTGAGGACCCCCCCCAGGACTGCAACGTGGACAACAGGAGCCTCCAACCTCCTCACCTCTCATAGGGTGATTGATGCCCTGCCTCCCTCCCAGGAGCCCAGTTCCTGCCCCCTGCCCTCCTTGCTTCCTACCCTCTGACCTCAGGGCCCATCTTGAGGCCTCGTGCCCCTCTGCTTTGTCCATGCTGCCTCTTCCCAGGCTTTTCACAAGGCACGCTCCTCCAGGAGTTTCAAGTCTCAGTTGAACAGTTCACCAGTTTGCCCAGGCTGGTCTCGAAACCCTGAAGTCAGGCAATCCTCTCATCTCAGCCTCCCAAAGTGCTGGGATTACAGGCTTGAGCCACCGTGCCTGACTTCTCAGGGTCTTTCAAAAAAATCTGATATCGCCAGCTATGAATTTTCAGTCATTCTTTCAGGTGGCTTGTTGTGGTATCTCACTATGGCATTAATTTGCATTTCTGTGATAACTTATGATAACATTGAGCACGTTTTTGTATGCTTGTTAGCTATTCCTTAGTGGAGTACCTGTTCAAGTCTTTTGCTCAGTTTTTAACTGGAGTCTGTTTTTATAATTGAGTTGTACAAGTTGTTAAAATACTCTGGATACAAGTCCTTTGCCAGATGCAAGTGCTGGGAATATTTTCTACCAGTTGTATTTTGGCTATGCAAGTTCCTAATGGTGGCTGCTCATAAGCAGGTGGGTTTGATTATAATCGAGTTCGTTGCATCATTCATTTTCTTTTATAGTGATCACTTTCTGGATCCTGCCTAAGATGTCTTTGCTTTGTCCACATTTGCAAACCGATTCTACGGTTTCTTCCAGAACCTCTGTAGTTTTAGCTTTGGCCTTTAGGTCTTAGAATGTACCTAAATGAATTTTTGTATCTTGGATGAAGTGTGGGATGAAGATGCATTTGAACGACTTTCTTTTTGGTCCCAGCAGGTTGCTCACACCTGTAATTCCAGCACTTTGGGAGACCCAGGCAGGAAGATTGTTTGAAGTCAGGAGTTTGAGACCAGCCTGAGTAACATAGCAAAACCCTGTGTCTACAAAAAAAAAAGTAGCTTGGCACGGTGGTGCAAGCCTGTAGTCCCAGGTACTCGAGAGGTTGAGGTGGGAAATTTGCTTAAGCCCAGGAGTTTGATGCTGCAGTGAGTTATGAACATGCCAATGCACCCATGCCTTGGTGAAGGAGTGAGACTGTCGAAAGAAAGAAAGAAAGAAAAAAAGAAATAAAGAGAGAGAGGGAGGGAGGAAGGGGGAGAAAGACTTTCTTTTTGACACTGATTTTATGTGGAGTATTGGTCAAAAAATATTTGCCTTTGTACCTGTGGTCCTATACAGGACTTCCATACTTTTCAGTTCCAGAGTTTCTGTTTGGTTCTTCATTATAATTGTTATTTTTCTGTTGAGATTCTTCTTTGTTAATTTCTTCATTATATTCATGTTTCTCTTTCAATTCTGGAACAGTGCATTCATTGCTTTTTTATATATTTTAAAGAGGTGGGGTACAATTCAAGATTAAGTGGACATCGTACAGCTAAAGTTTGGGCTTCCCTTTGGTCCCCACTTTGCCTGGTTTGAGATCAGGTACCCTCATTGATGTTATGTGCTCCACTCCCCACCCCGGCAGTGTCCTGCGACTGCCAATCCCTTTCTTATAGTATTATGGTAAATGTTCAGGGTCTGCTTATGAGTGAGAACATATGGTGCTCAGTTCTTAGTTTCGTGATAAATCACTGAGTATTATTGACTCTAAATCCATCCTAGTTGTTGTGAAGTCCATGTTTGTCCTTCTTTATGACTGCATCATATTCCATTGCGTAAATGCACCACACTTTTTTTTATTGAGTCCAGTTTCAGTGGGTAGTATGGTCAGTTCCATGTTTTCGCTCTTGTGAATGGTGCCAGTGCATTCATTTCTAATAGCTGTCTTTAAGTTTGCATCTGCTAATTCCACTGCCCTTGCCATTTCAGGGCCCATTGAAACATTTTCTCATTGGTATAGGTTTTTCTCCTTCTCATGTCTAGAAACTTTTGTGTAGAGGTCAGGCATTTCGACTGTTAGGCTGTTAAATA